GCTTTCGTAGTTCTCCAGGTTTCCGCCCCATACAGTAGAACTGCCCTGACATTTTTATTGAAAATTCTGACCTTGGTGTTAGTTGACAGTTGTTTTGATTTCCAGATGTACTTCAGTTGTAAATATACTGCTCTCGCTTTACCGATCCGCGCATTCACATCTGAACCAGATCCACCATGTTCATCAATGATACTACGCAAATATGTAAATGTTTTTACATCCTCCGAATCTCCGTCAATTGTGATTGCATTGGTGCATGCTATGTTGTATTGGAGAATTCTGCTTTTCCCTTTGTGTATATTGAGACCTACTGCTGCTGAGACTGCTGCTACACTGGTCGTCTTCTCCTGCATTTGTTGCTGCGTTTGCAATAGGAGGTCCAGATCATCTGCAAACGTCGAAAATTCCCTTACGAATCTAATCACTAGTGAACTATTCAATGATTACAAGTTTTCACTAATTGTCAAACTGAAATCAACTACTATAAACTCTTCTTCTCATTTTCCATCATCTAATTGTTTCTCTAAAATGAAAGTGATAAGGAAACAAGATAAAATAGAGAAAAATAAAATCAATAATACAAAAAAGGGAGAATAATTGAAATCGACATCGTTTCACGTGTCAAGTCATTCAAACAAAAAAGGGGGTAAAGATTTTCAACAAATATGTCTTCATTAGTAGTGAGATGAAAATTTTAAAAGATAAAGAAAAACAAATAGAGAGAAAAGAAATGAAGAGAAGAAAAAACCTACGAAATTTCACGCCATCTATCACATTCCATTTTAAATGGGATAATTAAGAGACCGGGAAAGAGAGAGGGGGAGAGCGAAAAAAAAGAGGAAAGTAACAAAAAGAAAAAAGAAGTATACAAGTTACTATTGATCTGATTAAAGATTAAAAGAGTAAAGAAAATTGAAGTGAAAATCCACACACACACACACAACGAGAAATAGAATCTGTTAATGATAATGTTCGAGAAAGAATCGTGTCTTTGTGTGAGGGGTATGCGAGCGATCCAGTGAGTGAAAGTACGTGCGTGTGTGCGTGTGTATGTGCATGAGAATATGGGTGATTATGCGTGTTACTAACTAATTTGTTTATCATTTAGAAAGTAAACAGATAAGTAAATAAATAAATAAATCACTATCAATATTCCTTAATGTTGATATTTAGTTTAGTTTTATAGTAGAATTAAAATGATTGTTTCATTTTAATTAATGATTTATGAAGTAGAGTTTACGTTGGTAAACACTGTTCATTATTTAAAACAGAGAGGGGGGTTTGTGAAGATTTTAGTCTGTTGTGACATATCAACTCACTGAAGACAATGGTGTTCGGTGGCGCAACTTTGTGGATTGGTTGATGTCAGACATTACCACCATTGGATGTCGGCCAGCACAGTGGTCCAGTTAGTTAAGCGCCTGGCGCAAGACTGATAGGTCCTGGGTTCGAATCTCGTGGTATGCGGGATCGTGGATGTGCACTACTGAGGAGTCGCACAATAGGACGAATCGACCGTTCAGTGCTTCCAGGTGTTCCATGATGGTCTAGCTTCAATTGACTCATGATTTCGACCATTGAAATTTCTAAAATCTCCAAAAAACCGCTTCTGATAAGATTTGAGTAGTTATAATAGTTGGATTCATGAGTCAAATAAAGTTAGACAATCATGAAAAAAATGGAAGTACTGGATGATGCATGAGACTGTGGGTCCTGGGTTCGAATCCTGAGAGCGGGATCGTGGATGCGTACTGTTGAAGAATTCCATATCAGAATGAAACAGCAATTTAGTGCTTTCAGTTTTTCTATGATGGTCTAGCTTCATGTAACTTGCAAATTACGTATTTACTATTTGATCGTTAGATTTTATTAAAAAGTCCTGTAGGTTCGTGTTAAATACATTCGATTGTCCCCACTGGTGTTCCTGATCATTACAATATAACTCCCATATGAGTTATAATGAGTAGGTGATACAGATATTCGCTATATTGATCAGATTCTCCTATTTGATGGTTGATTGATAAACATTCATAATCTTCCTAGATCAAATCTCATGGTAATGTACAATGAGAACTACTTATTTCTTATACAGAACAATTAATTTGGAGAATAAATCCTTCAAACTTCAGTAGTTGAGATCATGAGTCAATTGAAGCTAGATCATCATGGAAAACCTGTAAGCACTGGACGGCCGTTTCGTCCTACTGCTGGACTCTTCAGCATTGCGTATACACGACCATGCCTTGCGAAGTCCGAACACAGGACCAATCGGTCTCGTGCGCAAACGCTTAACCTCTAAACCACTGAGCCGGCATCCAACGGTGACGAACTTCAACCATTTCACGAAATTAAGCCACCGTACACCATTTTCTTCAGTGAGTTACTATATCACAACAGACCCGGTTGAACTCCACTGGTCACTGCTTCTCACTAGAGCTCTAGGAAATACCTTTTGAAGCCAGTCACAAGTGAGCATATGCTGAATAATATCAGAGGGAGATTTTGTAGATATCATGATACTTGAGATCATGAGTCACTTGAAGCTAGACCATCATGGAAAACCTAGAGGCACCGGACGGCTTATATATTTGGTAGGGAGAAAGACTAGAATTTTTGTATTCGAAAGTTTACAATGGAAATGTGGAGAGTTTAAGCACAGGCTCTTTGTCAATCATTATAGCTTGGTCTGTGATTGATTAACAAGGATATTTGTATCACCAATGAACAGATATATGCTTTAAATGGTTAACATAATTGTAGTGAATGAAAACACAAATGGGGACAACCAAATATATCCCAATACAACATCACAGAATATCAGAGACGTTACCAGTGAGCTATCCGGGCCGTGACTGACCTCCTGTAGGACTTAGATGTGATCACAATTGATTATTCACTGGGTGATGATCAATGTCATGTGTGTCAAGTCCTTATTACAGAATATCTTAGTAACATCTGTAAATCATACAGTAAATAATTCATTTGTAAAATATTAGACAATTGGCTCAGACTTCATTATTCCTTTATTTCCATGCTAATAAATCTCTTTTATTCGATCATCTTAATCTGCTGTCACCAGACATTCCACTTCCAATTAGTGATACATACTACTACTTATATCTGTCGACATCAGTAGCAGATATCACATTTATACCAACATTCATTTGTCAGACAACTCATTACTTAGTATATGAGTGTTCATTAGTTATTTTGGAAATCTATTCCAATGTCAGCTCCCTGTCTGCATATATATGACTTATAGAGTCTTAATAAATTTAGAAATCGCTCTTACCAAAGGCTGATTTGGATAATTTACTTAGGCCTGTTACCCTCAATAGAGCATAAGCCGCCAACCAACATTCTCCAACTCATTCAGGTTAATTAATCAAGCCAAAATTACATCAATTGTCATTTATTCTGTCCGATATTCAATGAAAACTATATGATATAGGTTGAAAATCCATTGAGAGCATCCCCTTTGAATGTGGTTGTGGATGATTTCGATAGAGTTTTATTCTCTGAGCTGAATGGTGGAACTTTCGTCAATACTCTGAACGACATCATCGGCTGAAACTTCAGGTAGACTTCTACCTGTTGTCAATTATCTTACAAATAGCAGATGTAACTCACAGATTAGTAAACAAGTATGTATGTGATTATTGATTGTACTAGTAATCACTATACTTTCATACTTAGATACCGACTTTCTAATCAATCCTTAGTTGTTAAGGTTCTCCTGATCTTTAATCATAAAAAAACAACACGTAAATTCTACCTCGATGATTAGTTTATATACAGAAAATGTGGATATTTATTGATTTACTTCCTGACTCTGAGATTATGGAAGTTTCAGATCAGGATTCTGAAGTTGGTGACAAATTCAATGATTGTTCTATAAAGATAATGAAATCATAATTGATCATTATGTAGAACTCTGTCGAAAGTTCTTAAAGAACACTGGCCAAAGTATTAATAATATTTCTTAGCCTCTGTAGAATTTTTGATGCATTATCAAAATTGAATAATATCGGTTTGACCAGTATCCATCTGACCATAACGCTGAAGGATTTATTTTCAATCTCAATGATACAGTATCAATAGTCTGAGAATTGAAAATTCAAATACCGCATACGAGATCGTAGATATACACTACCACTGAGGTGTCGCAACGGCTATCCAGTGCTTCTGAATTTTCCATGATTGGTCTAGATATACTCGAATCATGAGTTCAATGATTAAAATTATTACAATCTTCAAAAACCTCATTCTGATCATAAACCTCATGTGCTTACTAGGGTCTGGCTCTAAGAAGTTTTCCTTGAGAAACCATGACCAGTGAAGTCCGATCCGTGTCGGATAGAGACAGAGTTCTACTTCAAACAGTGGATGAACGATTGCTCAACCATTATCATTTTTGACTGCCATTCGGCTCTAGAGGTTAAGCTTTTGTGTAAGAAACCGAATATCTTGAATTCAACTACCTCGTGTGAGATTGTAGATCTTCACTATCATTGAAGAGTCCCATACTAAAACAATACGGCCATCTAGTGTTTCCAGAGTTTTCTATAGTTGATCTAGATTGAATCAACTCGTCAATCTAACTCTTATACCATCGAAAAATGAATTTTAATGATTAAAACTAAATTGTGATTGATTATTGCTTTTTTTAATATGACGAAATTTATTATAAAATGAATCAATCAATTAGGTAATTGTAATTTTTTATTTACCTAATTTCCCCCTATTACATCATCATCATCATCATCATCATCATCTGACTCCACGCCATCCTATTTTTAAAACGACTAACACAACAACGACAACCGCAGCAAAAAGAAAAAGAAAAACGACGAAAAGTAAAATAACAATGAAAACAAAGAAAAAAAGAAAAAGCACATTCCTTAGATTTTAGTGAAATTCAAAACAATAAATTTTTAAACGAGGAAATCTTCATCTGATTTATTCTCATTCTTATTTAAAATCTATTTACGAACCTCCATTCATTCATTCAATGTGTCAATTTCCTGTTCCTCTTCTTCTTCATCCTCTAGTTCTTCTTGTTGTCGTTCATGTTGTTGTGGTGGTGGTGGTCGTTGTTGTTCTTCTTCTTGCTTCTGTTTAGAAACGACACTTCTTATTTCGAATATTAAAATCTAACTAAGAAATCACTAATGAAAATAAACACGATGAATTGTGTTTATCATTTAATATAAAATCAAGAATAAAAGAACAAGAAACCACTTATTAAAACCACAAAAAAACGAGAGAGAGAAAGAGATTAGTTAATCAGTTAAAATGACGTAAGTCCACCACCCCATCTCCCTCTCCCTCCTCTCTCGTTCTGAGTGTGTGTGTGTGTATGTGTATGTTTATGTGACACTGTGATTATCACTGTGCGTGCATAAAACAAAAAGTTAGTTGGACTGAACTTTTTTTGTTGGTTTATTCACATACACAAATTTGAATTGTGAATTTTCTTAAGAAAAAAAAATTATTGATTTATTCATTTGGCATGATTGTTGATTCTGTAAAGTTCTATGATAGTTAATGTGTAGGTGGTGATGGTGGTGGGGTTGAATATACGTATGTGTTTGTATGTATGTGTGTGTGTGTGCAAGCATGACACTTGATAGTTACTATGTGAAAGTAAAAGTTGGAATTCAAATTCATCTGTAGAAGAAATATGGAGATAAGTTTTAGTTTGATATTCTGTGATAAACATGTTTAGATTTAATGAAATGAATAATTCACAAGGTATTGGATCAAGTTCACTTGGTATTTTATCTTCCCATTGTTATTTAGGGTTGTAATTGATCAGTCTGTTGTTGGTATATAGGAATCCTGTTGAGGATGTTAGATCTTCAGAACTCACTTGGAAAAGATCCTAATTTTGTAATTTTATTCTGGAAATTTGAATTTCTTTGTTTTTGCACCAAAACTGCTCTTTTCACCATCATGTCATATTTCTCACTTGAGAGAATCTTAAATGCTATTAGTCGGTTGTATCATTTAGTATACTATTTTGTAACGCTTCCTAAGGACAGTTTTGTGCTGTATATATGCGTTTTGATTTGTGTCTGTTGTTATCGCTCGTGCTTCAGACATTTTGTGGAATATACTTCCCCGTTCGGACGTCGACTTCTCTCTTTAATTAGCAGGGCCGGGACGCATCAGAATATCTAGCTAATCGGTCATTAGTCACAAAGTCTTTGTTCCGTTCACAGACTAGATGAACTAGTAGTCGCTTCAAACCTAGCACATCCTGTGAGAACTGCCTCGATATTTCCTTAACTCACAATCTATATAATGAAAGACGAATGTTGTCTAGTAGTGGAATCCAGTACATGCGCTTAGTCTTATTTGGGACTAGCTTAGCTGGATGTAACTGCATCCAGAGTTGGAGCGAAAGGTATGGGGTTCGAGTCCCAGAGTAAACATCAACTCTGGGATGCAGGTGCATCCAGTTGACGAGTCCTAAATAAGACAAAACGCGCGTCCTGGATTTCATTGAAAACCACTATACATCTTTGACCATAAAGTAAATCGGTTGAACTTTAGATCTGACTCCAATTTGATCGGACGAATGATTGTTATTGAGAGATACATATCGACAATCTTCATGTATAATCATCGAATTAACATGCCTTTTTTAATAACGGGATTAATTAACTCAAATATGAGAATGGATTTTCGAATACACATATTTTGTACACACATTGATCTGGGCAGACAATCAACGAGACGAAGTGAAGGTAGCGAAGAGGAGAGAGCGAAGAAAAATAATGTTCAGTGAAGAAGAAGAGTAAGCCATCTCGATTTAATCAAGTGTGGATCGATATTTATAGTGAGATCAAAAATAAGTTACAGATATATGATGAATGGAATAATAATGCAAACACATACGCTCATGTGAAAACACTGAAGGTTGATAATCGGATGGTGAACGTGGTCCAAATGTGACTTGAGATGGATGAATAAATTAGCCTGTCTGGAAGCTAGAATAAAGTATATGGGCTTGCATAGTAACTGACACTGCAGAATGAACATTCAGTGAGTCATTCAATCAGCTACAACGTAGGACCAGGCACATATATGCGTTGGTCCAAATTGCCATACCTATTTGGCACAACAAGATGAATACCAAATTCAATAAAGTAGATACTTTATTGGTAGCAATACATAAAAGAAAGACTACATATAAGGATATAGTACAGGAAGAAAGAATTAGTTCGTAGAAAGATAGATATAAAGCGATTTTAATCTATCAGTTTAAGAGAAGACAGAGTGTTTACACCTATACCTTTAGGACATAGTCCTATGATTCTTAACTCATTCTTTATTTATGATAACACACTTAGTATATATAGCCGCTACCTTATATGGATGTTCTCGCACACTTACTAAACTATGAATACTTTGTTAAAACTGTGTACATCGATGACTTTACTAGATTCGGCTCTTATAACAAATCATTCAGAGAGTAAACTCATGATCAAAACTACCCTGAATTAGTTTATACAGATCATATATTGCTCCAAAACTAGACATGTCATATACTGTCTCACTCAAGGAAGCGTTGTAGATGAGAATTGTAAGCGTGAGGGAAGTTACTGTGAGTAAATTCACTGGACGGCCGTTTCGTCCTACTGTGAGACCCCTCAGCAGTGTGCACACACGATCCCACACGTGGTAGCCGAATCCAGGAATTTCGGTCTCGCGCGCGAACATCTTTGTCTTTTTTTGATACCCTACAACAGTCTAGACAAGTAACAAAATCCATACATACTGTATGCTATCGCGAAGACAAGTGCGACATATAAGTAGGTCCATGTGAATATGAGTGAATTATTAGTTGAACATTTATCATAGGGCTTCCTATGTACTCGCAGTCTTCTCAATTCTTCTCACATAACTAATTGAATCAACCTCAAGGAATCATACACACATATTAACGTGATGTATGCTACTTATGTTGACAGATATAAGTAGTATATAACACCTTTCAGGAGTAGAATACCTATAAGCAGAAGATTGAGACAACGAAAGCTGAAAACAATCAAGGAACAATAAAGTTTTTAAGGGGCAATTTATAGATGTCCAGGACAATCAGATATAAGATAACGAGTCTTGGATTATGGTACGAAATTCATTCATTCATTCATTCATTTGGCATTATAACTGGCATCAATTCATCATACTTGTTTATAACCCTCATTTAGTTGTAATCAGTAGGTATCCATTCTCATTGTCTCTTCAGTGTCACTCAATGATCATCCATAAATGATGGGTCTTATCAATGTGTAAATAATACATTTGATGTATGACTACCATAAATGAATCTTCCCTATCTCAATTGTTGTTAAATACATTATGATTGAATTAAGCATTCAGAACATAACAATAACTCATTACATTGGAATAACAATTCAGCAAAAAGATTCATAGGAAACTCAATAAGCAATTAATGAAAGAATTCGAATGTTCTTCCTGATACTTTTTTCTCTTTATTTCTTTTCTTTTTTCTAAAATGTTCATGCTCTTCTCTATTTGTCTTGAAATTATCACCACCATCACCCATCAACCCAACCATCCACACCCCACAAACATACACACAACACCCTTTTTTTCTTGTCTTAGTTAGATCAATATACTTTCCACTAGTTAATTATTACAGTGATAAAAGGGGGATGTGTTGAAAGTATCATAGAAGAAGGGGAAGATGAAAAAAATTGAAATGACACTGTCTTATTAAAATGTAACTCAATGGAACCACACACACACGTGCACACACACTCGTATATACACGTATGTATATATGTACATTGAATGTGCTAATGTATATGATCTATTAAACCATTCAGTCATGCATTATATATTTCATTGGATTAATAAAGAACAATAAATAATTGTTTATTCATGTATTAAGAAATTGTTTACATCTCTGTTTAGTTGACATTCAGGATTGATAAGATTGTCTCAATCTGATTATTATGTGATAAAATGTAAAAATATATGACTTGTAATCATAATTGATTGATCACTAGGCGGTGATCACCGTCAAGTCAGTGTCAAGTCCTTCTTAGTAAAGATCGAATGCTATAGATACGGGATCGAATCCGTTAGGGAGCACCAGTTCCCTCAAGATTACAGGTACACCTTGTTGACGAGTGCCAAGTAGCACGAAACCCGGGTTCAGAGTTTCCTGTTGACTACCTCTAATCATCATCTTGTATATGAACTGTATTTAATAGGGGAGTCGATGAATAAAGAGGATTCTATACCGAATCCGAGGTGAGGATTAGTAAAGTAATGGAAACATTCCTACAGTCGTAGAACATATGGAACTCAAAACAAACTGTCTTCAAATCATCATCAAGACAGTTATACTGCAGTTGTCTTCGCAAGATGTTCAATATTCATTGGTCGGATATCATCAGCCAAAGTTATTCTGTGGGAGAGAATAAAACATGTTCCAGCTGAAGAAGAAATTAAAAAATTGTCAAACTGTATCATGAGACAATCACTAAATTGGAATTGTAAAGGAAAGCGGAAAAGAGGAATACCAAAGAAAACACTACGTCGAAAATTGAAAACAGATGTGAAAAGAATGAATAGCAACTGGAATGAACTGGAAAGGATTGTCGAGGACAGAGTTGAATAGAGAATGCTAGTGAGCGGTTTATGCTTCTCGATGAAGGGTAACAAGCGTAAGTATGTAATTTAACAAGGGAATCTAGAATACTGGTTGTTCTTAGTTGCTTTATTTCATTATTGATATTCATATTGACACTCGGAAGCAGTGGTTTTTTGGTTTAAACACCAAAAGTTATTCACCTAATTAATGAGTTTATAGAGATAGATAATAGAAATATCACACCTATGGTTATTTAGGCTGATTAGCTCAACGGATAGAGCATCAACACCTGGACTGAAAGCTACTAAGTCTGATCCCCAATGAGAATTTTAATATCGGGATGCAGGTGCATTCAACTGACGAGTACCATAGAAGACGAAACTGATATCCTAGATTTCATGATAATATTCTGGTATGCTGACGGCAGTGAGTTAACCAGTCACAGTACTTTGGTTGACGTTGTATATATTGTGTAGACCGCCATGGAATCGAATCCCGAGATCTGAATCGTGGATATGC